TCTTCACTTTCAGCAAGCAAGGTTGTATCATCTGCATACTGCATATCACCTGCATAACACAGAATACCAGATCAAACAGGCTCAGGGGATGGTGCAATAACTCTAAGGCGTACTCTTGTTGTATTAATTCCCAGACAGATTTGTTTGTTCTTCTGGCAGTCCACAGTACTTTTAATATTCTTCCTCAACATCATAATTCAAGTACATTCTTCTACAGTCTTCCTTATTCAATTCTTGTCCAACTTTCACATGCATATGAGGTCATTGAAAATACCATGGCTTGGGCCAGGCAAACCCTAGTCCTCAAACTGACATCTTTGCTCTTGAACACATTAAAGAGGTCCAAGGAGCTCTGGTAGCATAGTGGTTATGAATCGGGCTGCGAACCGTAAGGTCAGCAGTTCGAAACTACCAGCGGTTCCGCGGGAGAAAGATGAGGCGTTCTGCTCCTGTAAAGATTAACAGCCTCGGAAACCCTGTGCAGGCTCGCTATGAGTCGGAATCGACTCCACGGCACATAACAACAACAACAACAACAACATGCAGCAGCTTTCCCTAATACAATAAGTCATGTGATTTCTTGACTGCTGCACTGGACTGCACAGTGGGTTTGAACCTCAAGGTTGGTGGTTCAAACTCACCAGCCACTCCTTGGAAATCCTATCCAGGATCGCTGTGAGTCAAAAATGGCACTTAACAACAACAACACTATACTTCTTTTCTGTCAGAGTATTTTAAAACAAATCCCAAACATTAAGTCATTTTATTTTTAAAATACTCCAATATGCAATTCATAAAAATAAGAACATTACTCTTAAATAACTGCATCATTCTTACCAACATTTATCATTCTTACCAACATTTATGATTCCTTAATGTCCAATATGCTGTCCTTATTCAAAGTTGACTGACAGTCTATAAAGTATACTTGCACTTTGCTTTGTATGGATCAGAATCTAAATCAAGGCTACTCTATTTGTTGGTTATGTCTGTTAGCTAACTTTCTCTTTATCTCTTTTAATTCCTCTCTCATACTCTATCATCCATGTATACTTAAAACAAATTCAGTTGTTCCAAAGAAGGTGCCACATTCTAGATTTGTCTGATTGCTTCTTTGTGGTGTGTTTAACTTGTTGCTAGTTGTCACATTGAATCTGACTCAGGGTGACTTACATACAACAATCCTACACAGTCTCTACGATGTTGGAATGCTGGAGTCCATTATTAAAGCCACTATGTATTTTGAATGCTTTCCAACCTTCAGGACTCATCTTCCTGCACTGTATTGAACAATATTCTGTTGTGTTACATAAGATTTTCACTGACAAACGTTCAGACATAGATTTCTAGATTTTTCTTTCCAGTCTTTCTTCTGGAAACTCCAGTGAAACCTGTCAACCATAAGTTACCTTGCTGATATTTGAAATAGTGACATAGCTTCCAGTATCAAAGCAATATACAAAAGCCACCTCAAGACAACACAATCGGGTTGTCTAACTTAATTTCCCCTTATCATTTGTAGATTGAAAGTAAATTGATTTGTTGTGTTGTTAGATACCATCAAATTGGTTCTAACTCATGGTGACACTATGCACAATTGACCAAAACACTTCCTGAGCCCACGCCATCTTCATCATTGTTGCTTGAGCTCATAGTTGCTGTCACTGGGTCAGTCCATTTTTCTGGGGGTTTTCCTCTCTTTCACTGCTTCTCCACTTTACCAAGCATGATGTCCTTTTTCAGTGACTGGTTCCTCTTGACACGTCTAAAGTACAAAAAATGAAGTCTCACAATCCTCACATCTATGGAGCATTCTGGTTGTACTTCTGACGAGATAGATGTGTTTGTTCTTCAGACAGTCCATGGTATTTTCAATATTCTTTGCCAACACCATAATTCAAATGCACCAGTTCTTCTATGGACTTCTGGTGTGGCGCTGCTGGTTAATGTGGTAAACTGCAAAGTCGGTTTGGGCCGTAAGGGCCGGTAGTTCCAACTCACCAACTGCTCCTCAGAAACCCTATACAGGGTCTCTGTGAGTCGGATCCCTACTCGACAGCACTTAGCAACTCAACATCAACAAGTTCTTCTATGGTCTTCCTTAATCATTGTCTAATGAAGCAATTGGAAATATCATGGTTTCCTTGGGTCAGACATATTTAGTCATGAAAGTGACATCTTTGCTATTTAACATTTTAAGGGGTCTTTTACAACAGATTTGCCTAATATAATATGTTGCCTGATTTCTTGACTGCTGTTTCCGTAAGTGTTGATTGTAGATTCAAGAGAAATGAAGTCTTTGACAACGTCAATCTTTTCTCAGTTTATTATGATGTTATTTATTGGTCTGGCTATGAGGATTTTTGCTTTATAAAAATTGAGGTGCAATCCATGATGAACACTGAAGTCTTTAAACTTCATCAGTAAGCGCTTCCAGTCCTTTTAAAGTCAAGCAAGTAAGGTTGTATCATCTACATATCACAAATTGTTAATGAGTCTTCCTTCTTCTTATAATCTAGCTTCTCAGATTATGTGCTCAGCATACAGAATGGATAAATATAACTAATGGATAAAACTCTGGTGCAATCCTTTCCTGTTTTTAAACCACTCAGTATCCCCTTGTTCTATTTGGACCGTTACCTCTTGGTCTATTTACAGGTTGCTCATGTGCACAATTAAGGGTTTTGGAATATAATTTCTTCACAATGGTATCCATAATTTGTTATGACCCACACAATCTAAAATCTTTGCATAATTTTAATTCATTATTTATTCTGCAAAAATATCTCATAATGGTGCCCTCCATACACAGAGTAGACAGGGATGGGCAACTTGGACATTGGCTATCCAGAATGGGGGGGTGGGGAGGCTTCAAAGGCAAGAAGTGACTGGCTTAAAAGCTTTCAAGAGGGAACCTAGATCCAGGAGGCATGGAGGAAGGTAGAATCTCCACTGAGTAGTATCCAATCTGTCTAGGTGGGACTGATGAAAGGAAATGTGGATAGGTCTCTTGTGGTACAATAGTAAATAATTGTTATCAGGACTAATTGTGAGGGTTGGAAATGTAAAGGTAGATGTTTTGTAGCAAGGAGGGGAGTGATTAATTTTTCAGTCTAGGAGTGGAGGTCCCTGGGAGCATCAAGGGAGAAAAGCAGAGAGTGAGACCCTACCCAGAGAAGCAGTGATGCCAGAGATGGAGGCAGAGACAATGACTTGGGGAGATGGAGCAGCTGGGGAGTTAAGACCCAGAGAGGGAGAGGAACTGTGTGCTGACCACCCAGGGGGTGGGGAAGCAGGCTTGTAGGCTATACCCTTTGGTTGGTTGATGATGAATGGAGGGGATTGTAACCATGGTAATGAAACGATATAAAATAGGATGAATGTAAAGCTAATGTTCTCCCATGTAAACTATCACATAATTCACAATAAAACATTTAAAAAAAATTATCTCATAATGGCGCTGTGCACTTCATATTACATTACATCAGAAAGTATGTAATATCTGATGCCACCTAACTACAGCAACCTTTGATAGTTCCTAGAAGCGATATTGTGGCTCAAAGGATGAAATATGTGTAACTTTGTTAGATAATCAAATGATTAAGTCTAATATTAACTTACATTGTTTTCTCCTCAGAAAGAAGTCAACAAAACATATAACTGTGAATATTTAGGTCTTAGAGAAATACCTGACACTCTACCAAGCACGACAGAAAATTTGGAATTCAGCTTCAATTTCTTGCCTACAATTCAAAATACAACCTTCAGCCGACTCATTAATCTTATCTTTTTGGATGTAGCCAGGTATGTATTTTAATTTCTTGTGCTCTTTTGGTGGTTTACGCAAGGAATTATACATTTAATCCTTCTCGACTCTCTCCTTGTCTTCTGTCTGGTCACTAATTTTTAGTGTTTCAAACAACATTTGTTTCTTGAGCCTTCCCAACAGGGTTTCTACTGTCTATGCTCATTCTAATGATCTTGATTTTCAGACCTTCCTTTCTGTAATAATTGTTCTTCTTTATGAAATATATCCATAGAAATTGTTCCATGAGAGTATACTAGTGTAAATTTGCCCCAAGTCTTGTTATTATGAAATTATCTTCATATCATTCCGTTTGTGAAAAGATAATATTATCTGATACCGACTTGTAGGTGAACAATCTATGTTGGAAGAAGTACAGTCAGAATGCTCCTTGGAAGCCAGGATGGCCAGACTTCATCGCTCATACTTCAGACATATTATCAGGACATATTATCAATTCTATTTGGCTGAGAAAAATAATTGTTGAAACAACTGCCTCTTGGTCTATGTTTAGGTACCTCATGAGCATAATTAAGTGTTCTATAATACACATTCTCTGCAATGTTGTCTATAGCTTGTCATGATCCACACAATCAAAAGCCATTGTGTAGTCCATAAATCACAGGTAAACAAACATCTTTCTGTTATTCTCTGCTGTCAGCCAAGATCCATCTGACGTCAGCAATTACACCCTTCTTTCCACAGTCTCTTCTGAACAGGGTTTGAACACATGTCAGTTCCCTGTCAATGTACTGTTACAGTCATTTTTAAATTATCTTTTGCACAATTTACTAGCATACGATATTAATTACATTGCCCAATTGTTTCCACAATCCACTGGGTCACATCTCTTTGAAATGGACACAAATATGAATCTCTCTGATCAGTAGGCCAGGGGGCTGTTCAAATTTCTTGGCATAGATGAGTAAGTACCTCCAGTGCTGCATCAGTTTGTTTATAGATTTCCATTTGTATTCCTTCAATTCCTTGAACCTTGTTCTTTGCTATGGCCTTCAGTTCACCTTGCACCTCTTCTTTCAGCCTCACTGATTCTTGATCATATGTTACTTCTTGAAATAGTTAAACATTGACCGTTTCTTTTTGGCACAGTGACTCTATGTATTCCTTCCATCTTTTTCTTCTAGAATCATTTTTTTTAATGGATGACAGAAAGGATCACATTGCTATGCTATTTAAATTACATTTTTAAGAGTAGTGTAATTTCATTTTAAAATGTGAACATATGCTGGAAATTACATCTTTTTCAATCATTAAACATACAATAAAAATTTTAGATGGCACCTTAAAACCATAAAAGACAATGGTGGTGGTGTGGCGTGGAATCCTGGACTCACAGAGACCCTGCATAGGGTTTCTGAGGCTGTAAATCTTTTTTTTTTTTTAATGTTTATTGTTAATTATGTGATAGTTTACATGGGAGAATATTAGTTTTACATTCATCCTGTCTTATATCGTTTCATTGCCATGGTTACAATCCCCAACCATGCATCATCAACCAACCAAAGGGTATATCCTACAAACCTGCCCTCCCCCGTGCCCCCCGGTCATCAGCACACAGCCCCTCTCCTTCTCTGGGTCTTAACTCCCCAGCTGCTCCATCTCTCCACATCATCGGCTCTGCCTCAATTTCAGGCATCACTGATTCTCTGGGTAGGGTCCCGCTTTCCACTCTTCTCCCTTGATGCTCCCAGGGACCTCCACTCCTAGACTGCAAAATTAATCGCTCCCCTCCTTGCTACAAAACATCTACCTTTACATTTCCAACCCTCACAATTAGTCCTGATAACAATTATTCACTATTGTATCACAAGAGACCTATCCGCATTTCCTTTCATCAGCCCCACCTAGACAGATTGAACACTACTCCATGGAGGTTCTACCTTCCTCCATGCCCTCTGGATCTAGGTTCTCTCTTGAAAGCTTGTAAGCCAGTTACTTCTTGCCTTTGTAGCCTCCCCTCACCTCCCCCCCACCCCCATTTTGGGTAACCAATGTCCAAGTTGCCCATTCCTGTCTACTCTGTATATGGAGGGGGTGGGAATGATCCTTGCTGTAAAGATTTGTTCCCTCTTTTGAGCTACTGCATCCATAGGTGTAGGTCAACTTCATCAGATTGTATCAGATTACTCTTTTTTTCCTCTTCTTTCTTCTTCTAGTTGAGCTCTGATCATCCAGTCATTGAAGCCAGGACAAGTAGGTATTATCTGTAAGTGTGGGTGTTCTTATGCGTATGCCCTCTCTTCTTATCAGTTGGATGCTTCACTCTCCACTCTAGTCCTCTGTGGCTATGTCACTGACTCTGGACCCAAGAGTCCCCAGGTCTTGCCACACTGCTGGTCAACCAGATCTCCACCCAGGTTCACAGGAGTCTATTGAACGTTGTAGGGCTTAGCACACAGCTTCAATCCTTCCATCTTATTTTGATGCTTTCTGCATCATTCAATATTTTGCCCATAGAATCTTTCAATATTGTAAGTTAGGCTTGAATTTTTTTCTTCAGTTCTTTCAATTTAAGAACTGCAGGGCATGTTCATTCCTTTTGGCTTTCTAACTCCAGGTCTTTGCACTTATCATTAATATTTAACCTTATTTTCTCGAGCTGACATTTGAAGTTTTCTGTTTATCTCTTTTGTGTCTTCAATTCTTCTATTTGCTTTAACATCTCTATACTGGAGAGAAAGTTTCAGAGTCTCTTCTGAAACCCATTTTGGTCTTTTCCTTTTTTCTTGTCTTCTTAATGATCTTTTGCTTTCTTTCTATATGATGTTCTTGATATCATCCCATAACTCTTCTGGCCTTCCATCATTAACATCTAATTCATCAAATCTGTTCTTCAGATGATCTCTAATTTCAGGTGGAATATGTTAAAGGTCATATTTTGGCTCTCATGAACTTGTATTAATTTCCTTCAGCTTCAGACTGAACTTGCTTAAGAGCAATTGATGGTCTGTTCCACAGTCTGTTCCTGGTCTTGTGTTGGCTGGTGATATGAAGCTTCCACAATCTCTTTCCACGGATGCAATCAATTGATTCCTGTGTATTCCATATGGGTGAGGTCCATATGTATAGTCATATTTTATGTTATTTAAAAAAGGTATTTGCAATGAAAAAGTCATCGGTCTTGAAAAATTCTGTCATGAGATCTCCAGTATTGTTTCTTTCATGAAGGCCATGTTTTCCAATGACTGTTCTGTCCTCTTTATTTCCAACCTTTGCATTCTTAGCCCCAGTAATTATCAATTTAGCTTGATTACATGTTTAATCAATTTCAGACTAAAGAAGTTGGTAGAATTCTTCAGTTTCATCATGACTAGCTTTAGTGGTTGATGCATACATTTTAATAATAGTTATATTCACTTTTATTCTGTGTAGACGTATGGCTATTATCCTATCACTGACAGATACATCTTGAAATGTTCTTTTTGATGACAAATGAAATGCCACTTCTCTTCAGTTTTTCATTGTGGGCATAGTAATTCATTTGACTGTCAGATTCAAGATGGCCAATACCAGTCCATTTCAGCATAAATACCAATATTTATGCGTTCCGTTCCATTTTTGACAACTTCCAATTTTCCTATATTCATATTTCTAACATTCCATTTTCAGATTATTGATGGATGTTTACAGCTTTTTCTCCTCATTTTGAGTTGTGCCCCATCAACAAATGAAGGTCTTGAACACTTTACTCCATTGGCATCTTCATCATCAACTCTACTTTGAGGAGGCAGCTCTTTCCTCCACAAATTTTTAGTGCCTTCCAACCTGAGGGATCCATCTTCCAACACTCTACCTAATATTCAGGTTCTATTCATCATGTTTGAATATTCAATATTCTGATGTTACCTGACAGTGTTCGACTGCTATTCACAAGGTTTTCTATGACTAAATACTCTAAAGTAGTCCATCTCTTCTTCTTTCTAGTCTTTCCTAGTCTGGAAGTTCAGCTGAAACATGACCATCATGGATGACCCTGCTGGTATTTTAAATACATATGGCATAGCTTTAGAATCACAGCAACACATAAGCCACCACAGCATAACAAATTGACAGAGGTGTGGTGAATCTAACCATTATCCATGTGTAAATAATCTGTCTTTTTTATCTGGAGGTTTTTAATATGTTTTCTTTGTCTTTGGTATTTTATAATTTCACAATAATATATCCACATGTATAGTGTTGGGTTTTTTGAACTACAAATCAGTATCATTCATCAGTTCAAAGATAGCACATTCATCATCTGTTTCAATGTTGGCTTGTCCCCACCCATTCACTGTTTGATCTTCTTCTGTATCTTTGACTAGATTTACATTGGCTCAACTAATTTATCCTTCAAATCTCTTCATATCACATATTTTCCGTCTCTTCAAATTTTAGAGATATACCCACTGGCAACAAGTCAATTCTGACTCTTAGTAACAATAGGGCAGAATGGAACTGCTCCATAGGATTTCTAAGACTGTAACTATTTATGGAAGAAGATGGTGCCGTCTTCCTCCTGCATAGTGGCTGGTGGGTTTGAATTGCTGATCTTGTGCTTAACCCACTGTGCCACAGGGCTCCTTCTTTGGAGACTCTGGTGGTGGTGTGCCGTGGAGTCAGTTCCAACTCACAGCGACCCTGTGTAGGGTTTCCGAGACTTTAATCTTTACGGGAGCAGAAAGCCTCATCCTTCTCCTGTGGAATAGCTGGTAATTTTGAACCACTGTCGAGCTTAGTAGCCCAATTCGTAACCACTACACTATCAGAGCTCCTTTGGGAGTTGTAGTCTAGGTAATTACTTATCTACTTCTAGCTCATTAATACGTTTGTCAACTGTGTATAATCTCCTGTGTAAGCTATTGGCTTTCTAAATTTAATAATTAACTTGTATAAAATTTATTCATTTCCATTAAGTTTTACTAATTTTGTTTTTTTTTTTTACAAATATTTCTGGTTAGTTGTGACTTTTCCTCCACTCAACATACTTCAATTCCTA